CTTCATTAGCAGCTGCAGAAATGTGGGACGTAAACTCTCCATTCATTTCATTTCCGAAATTCCGCAAATCACAAGTAAGGATTTATCTAAACATAAACCAGGCATCTAGAAACAAGCGTAGTAGGGCCTTCTCACATTTTCCAACACCAAAGAAAAGTTGATAAAGGCTTGGAATGTTGTTTGCTTGTTTGCTTGTTTTTTTTTTGTTTTTTTATTTTGTTGATTTAAAAAAAGAAAAAGGAAAAAGAATGAATTGAAAATATAATAAAAAAAAAACCAAATAAATAGGCCTACTTCTTTCTTAAAACAGGCGCCTCATTCCCCACAAAATGAGACGGTATTTGAGGGATGTGTGCAATCTTATATGCCAGTCAGGCTTGACTTTGTTGTTGTTTGTTGCTCATGATATCAAACATATTTTTAAACAAATCAAGACTCCACACTTTGACAGAGACTCTGGTAAATTTTATGCTTCTTAAGTTTAACCATGGACAGCCCCTTAATCTAGTTTCATGCAAAAAAAGATCCAAATTCGTGGTAGTTTCATTAGTTTTCTCTTTATTTAGCAAAACGGAGTAAATGGGTTGATTTGTCAGTTATTTGTAGTCTGAATTCGGCTTAGTACGGACTGAGTTGTCTTTTCCTGTTACTAGCTCTCAGATTTAAGAAATCAATAAAGGTATTCAGACGTCATTTCGCCCGCTTTACCACTTCGCCCCAGGGTCTCTTGAAAAAAATAATAAAACTTGCCAATCTTGCAATCATTTACGATTGCAAACATTTGGAGTTGTTCAAACTACCTCCGCCTTTGGTAGAAACTGTCTAAATATCGTCTTAGAGTCGTGTCAAGACAAATTTATTTACCAGGGACGAAATGACACGTAGGCGGTTTGGCCTGTAATAAAATTACATCTTATGACAATCGAGAATTGATCGTCTATTTAGCTTTGATAGTGTGACAATCAAGACTAGTATCTACTTTCGTTTTTCAACAAACATGGCGGACACGGTCTTGAAATTCATTGTTTACATTCATTAAATTGTGAAAATAAGCCAATTAAAGTCTATTCTGCATAATTCTTTGTGCTGATT